CACCACAAAGTGATCATTTTTAGGAGTTGATGGACATAAAAGAAATAATTGGGCATAGCTCAATGACTAATCATTGGTATGTCCACCTCAATTTTTCTCTTGACTTTATTTTAACCTATAAAATAAACATTTAAGTCACATTAAGCATAGTCATTTTTCCTGTTCTAGTTTATCCTTGAAGTCTGCTAAGTAAAAATGTACCTTTTTGAAATGACATCTTGCACCAATATTTTGAATATGTATTATTATTAGAAAATGCAAATTGAATTTAAAAACATACAACAGACATAAACAAAAAAGTCACAGAAAAACACAAATGGCCAATACTCACATGAGAAACTCAACTTCACTTGTAATCAGCAAAATGCAAATTAAAATAAAATGGAATCATTATGATTGCTAAAAACTTAAAATTTTAATAATCTCGAGTGTGATTGAGGATATACATAAGGATATTCTGTCATCCTCTGCTGGTTGGAGTATAAATTAATGTGGACACTTTAGAGGGTAGTTTGGTGGCATCTATTAACTCTAAAAATGAACACAGACCATCACATTGCGATTCCATTTCTCACGTTTGCACATGAGAAACTTTCTCTCATGTTTACAAGGAGATATAATCAAGTATGTTTATTTTATCAGTATTAGTAATAACAAAATATTTTTTTTTTTTTTGAAACGGAGTCTTGCTCTGTCACCAGGCTGGAGTGCAGTGGCGCAGCAATCTCAACTCACTGCAACCTCTGCCTCCTGAGTTCAAGTGATCCTCCTGTCTCAGCCTCCCGAGTAGCTGGGGCTACAAGTGCGCACCACCATGCCCAACTAATTTTTTGTATTTTTAGTAGAGACAGCGTTTCATCATGTTGGCCAAGTTGGTCTCGATCTCTTGACCTCGTGATCCACCCACCTTGCCCTCCCAAAGTGCTGAGATTACAGGCGTGAGCCACCATGCCCCAGACGGTAACAAAATAATTTTAAGCAACTCAAAACATGGCAACATGGCAGTGGTTAAGTAAACTGTGGTATAGTTAATCTAAGATAATCAAACTATGACAAATCCAGTAGTAAAAGCCAGTGCATCTGAAGTTTAAAGAACAGGAGGAAAGTGTACAGACAGCATCATCATATTTTCATGTAGGTTGTTCATTGAACATCTCCAGGCAACACTATCCACATAAATTACAATGTGATGACTTCCCCTTGGGGTTATGCAGTGCATCATATGCACAATGGTGCATGAAGGTGGGATAATGTTGGGAATTTAACAGGAGGCCAAATCATGCAAAGCTTCAGAGGTTATGATAAAGAATCTGCATTTTATTCTAAGTAAAATCCCTGAAGGGCTTAAAGAAGGCAATTAATTGATGTTTTCAAAAGGTTTCTCTGGCAGATATATAAAATGGATGTGAAGAGATAAAGACAAAAAGTAAAAGATCAATGAGGAGTATATTGCAATGATCTAATCAAGAGTTGATACTGACGTCAACTTGGATGGTGGCAGTGGTAATGGAAAGATGGGGCAAATAAGAAATATATCATGCAGCTATAATCTATTAATGCATTATATTGGGAAAAGTAAAGGGAATTTTGGAAAGAGCACAATCAAATTGATTAACAAGTTTCTATATGGGGCTTTGAATGGGTGGTGGGACCATTTGCTGATCTGAGGAAGGCTGAGGGAAGAGTATCTTTCAGCAGTACAACTTCAAACATGTTAAGTTCGATATAACTGAGATGGCCAAAACAAATAATAAGAGAGATGACTATATAAAACTGAAGCTAAGAGAAGAGGTTTAGAGAGACGTAAATTTTGAAGGAGTTATCGTATGTACAGGTATTTCTTAAAGTCACGGAATTAGATGAGAGGTCACTAATGGAAAGAAAAGAAGAGAGACAGGCTACGGAAAGCCCTGAGGAATTATAAAATGTGTAAGACAGGGGCTTATGAAGCTAGAGAGATAGGGTGGGAAACCAGGAGTAATGGAATACAACTGAAAATAGCCTACTTACCCTTCAATGAGGGAACTGCTCAGGAAATCATCGTATATCCATTTTGTAAAATATTATGCCACAAAATAAAATCAACTGATCTTTGACAAAAGAGGTAGAAGAAAATGTGGAAAGCATAATCTTTTTGACAAATGATGCTAGAAGAAATGGACATCCACATGCAAAAAGAAAAAAAAGAATCTAAACACAGACATGACATCTTTCACAAAATTTAACTCAAAATGGATCTAAGAACTAAATGTAAAATAAAAAAACTATAAAACTCCTAGAAGAAAATATAAGAGAAAATCTAGATGACTTTGAGTTTGATGATGAGTTTCTAGATACCAACCAAAGGCAGAATGCATGAAAGAAAAAAATGATAAATTAGATTTCATTAAAATTAAAAAACTAATCTGCCAAAGACACTTGAAATAGAGTGGGAATACAAGCCACAGAGTGGCAGAAAATATTTGCAAAATATATATCTGATAGAGAACTGTTATCCAAAGTAAATGAAGAATTTGTAAAATTCCACACAAAAATTAACTCAATTTTGAAAATGGGCAAAATATCTAAACTTAAACCTCACCAAAGAAGATACCCAGATGGCAAATAAGCTTATGAAGATGCTCAACATCGTATGTCATTAGGAAATTACAACTTATAATAATTGGATAACACTAGATACTTTTTAGAATAGCTAAAACCCAAACACTTATCACCCAAAGCCGGCAAGGATATGGACTCTCATTACTGGTAATGCAAAATTGTACAACAATTTTGGAAGACAATTGGGCAGTTTCTTACAAAACTAAAAATACTCTTACCATATGCTCAAACAATTGTGTTCCTTGGTATTTGTCCAAAGGAGCTTAAAATTTGTATTCATACTATATGATTCCAACTATATGATATTCTGGAACAGGCAAAACTATGAAGTCAGTAAAAAAACATCAATGATTGCCAGGGTGGAGGGAGGGTCAAAAAGGCAAGCAAAGAGGATTTTTAAGGCAATAAAATGATGTATGATTTTATGTATGATACTGTAATGGTAAATAAATTTCACAATGCATTTGTCAAAAACCATAGAATGTACATCAAGAGTGAATCCTATGTAAATGATGAACTTATGTGATAATGATGTGTCAGTACAGATTCATCCATTGAACAAATGTACTCTAGTGGGCGATACTGACGGTGGAGAAGGCTGCGCATGTGTTGAGGCAAGGGGTATATGGGAACCCTAATACTTGCCACTCAGTTTTGCTGTGAACCTAAAGTGGCTCTAAAAAAATAAAGTGTATTTTTACAAATACCTTCCATGTATTTAAAAGAAGTGATAGGCAAAATACGCTAATATCAGTTTCACAAAGATAGATGGAAAAAAAGCAATTACTTATGCATAGTTTACATAAAATGTGGTTTTATTTAAAATAAATCAAGTATTAGATATACGCATATGTTAATTGTATGTGTATTTTTTTTAAGTCTGGCTACATGTACAATAAACTTAACAGTAATTCCTGGGGTTAGGAGAGGAGAAAGAACAATGAAATTTCACTTAAAAAATGTTACACACTTTTATATTGTTTGTCTTATAATAAACATGTATTAATTTAAAAATATTTACAAAACAGTTTCAAAAGGACACGCACATTTTAAATCACCCTTGTGTTCTTAAAATTTTTAACCAGGTTTTATGAAAATGTGGTCCCAGGAATCTGTCAGAAACACCAGGAGGGTTTATTAAAAATGGGGGTGCCCTCTGAATCCCATCCCAGCTTTTTTTTTAAAGACAGGGTCTAACTCTGTCGCCCAAGCTGGAGTACAGTGGTGCCATCTCAGCTCACTGCAACCTCCACCCACCTCCCAAGTTCAATTGATCCTTCCACTTCAGCCTCCCCAGCAGCTGGGACCACAGGCATTCGCCACCATGCCCAGCTAACTTTTTTTTGGAGTGATGGGGTTTCGCCATGTTGCTCAGGCTGGTCTCAAACTCCTGAGCTCAAGCGATCCTCTAGCCTCAGCCTCCCAAAGTGCTGGGATTACAGGAGTGAACCATTGCGCCAGGCCCCCATCCTGGCTTTAATAAATCAGGCCCTCTAGGAATGAGGTATAGCACTTTGCATTCTTGGCAACACCATGAGGTGATTCTAACCTCTACCCTTCTGAATCGCAGTAAGTCGAAATGAATGAGTACAGTTAAAAAAAAAAAAAAAAAAAAAAAAAAAAAACCAGCAAAAGCCAACACTTCTTGGATAAACACCTACCAATTATTCAATCTAAAGTAAAAAGAGCCGTTAGCATATGCCTGGTCCAAAGAGCAGGGAGAAAACTAAATAACTGGATTAATGGCTAAGCAATGTCCTGAACCAGGCCGCACTCTAAGAAGCACCGTAACATTTTAAGAAAAGAAGGCATATAGATTCCATAGGGATAAAAACTGGCCAAATGTGCAGAACTTTCCGTCTCCCTCTCATAATTCCCATTGGGTCAGTTATACACAGAAGCAAAAAAATATATATCAATATGTTATGCCTTAAAATATACTTGACTTGATTATACTCTATATTCGAATCAGAAATATAGAGGCTGAAGAATAACTTATATAGTGTTGTTCTCTATCTTCCAACATTTGAACTATCTTTCTGAAAGCATTATAAATGTAAGACATTTCCAAGAATTTCAGCTATGCATCTGATCCCTCTATATAATACAATCTAGAGCAGAAGATTTGTGTCACATAGTATCAGTCAAAAAAGGCATAGTTACCAGAAGCAAGAGAAGACTTTTCAGTAAGTGGCTTCGTTACAAAAGCCTAAAGTTAGTGGAATCAGAACAGACTCACAAATTTACCAAGGTTCGACGTACTCATCTACAAGCAACTCTTGGGCAATAAATCCTTAAATTACAAAATTACATAAGCAGTTTATTGTATTTATGAGCAATGTTTTTTTAATCCAGCAGATAACTCACAGAGTTCTCTTTCTCTCCTCCCCCCCAGCTTTATCCATAAGTGATCCATCTTTCAGAAGCAGTGAGTTATCCTGGATGTCTTTTGCTTCCTTTCATGTTCGAAAAAAGACACATATTCAATTGCAGTTTCAGCCTCTCGCTGCAGATGGTATCCTATTTTATGCTGCACAACACTTAAAAGCCCAATCAGGTAAGATTGGCAGGCTGTTTGTTTGCAGAATGAAAAAAGAAAAACACCCTAATGAATTCCTAATAGTCTATTAAATAATGTATGATAGTGTTTGTGTCACCTAGTCTTTAAATATGTAAACATTTGATGCTTTTATGTTCTATTGTCACTGCAAGTGTATGCGTATGAATTTAGAGGTCCTAAATATTCTAATAAAATAGCAACAGATTTGTTGGAATTAAAGTTTGCAAAATCTAAATATAGTATATGCTCAACTTTAAAACAACACCTCAAAAAAGACATTAAAGCCATGCATGATAGTACTGTGTCAAAGGAGACAAAATATGCATATAAAAGATTTTTTAAAAGGAAGGCATGGCTGATATATTTCATGTAGATTCAACCACATTTATAGCTCCAAAAATTCTCTTTAAGTTGTTCTGTCATCCAAGTAGTAAACCCAGGATTTATGTTCTAAAATGCTTATAAAAACATACTGGAATTTTAAAAGGTACTTATTTATCATAAAATATAAAATAAAGTATCCAATTAGTGTTTTAAAAAATAATTTTTTAGGTTTTACTATTTTACCCGATTTCCATTTTCATACGTTTCTCCAAAATTCTGACAGACATTTGCACACATAGTTACATCTCCATTGCTAAGTATTTTTAAAATCTTACATCTGACTTTCTTTGATTTTGCTTCTCAGAAAATGAGAAACAATTTTGGTATAGAGAAATAATTACAATTGCTTATTTTGTTTCACATCATTAACAAAAATGGTGCTCTAATTATCATAATCTAAGTAGTTCTTATAGAAGTGTCTTGACTGGCTTCTAAATGATAAGAATATCAGGGAATTCGACCAAAGTGGTTCCATCTCAGTGCATTTCTGAAATACCCTGAAAATAATTTCAAAGAGAAAAAGTACAATTGAGCTATAAAATACAGCTCAGAAGAAATTTGTTCTCCTGAGATTTGATATTTGGTTTTAAATTCATGATTAAATCTCCCTGTGAAAATGTCAAATAGGAGAACCACACACAGAGAGAAATTTTCTATTTATAAATCAAGAGACATTAAAAGACAATCAAGTTCAGTTATATTGCTAATAAAACTCAAAATTAACATAAGTGGGACCTATGTAAAAGGGCAGAAAATCAAGGTATATTCAGGATTGTGACTGGCTGGGAATACTGTACTATAGTTTTATAATCAGTACAACAGATACATATTTGTGTTTATGTATATGAAATATAAAGCTCATACACACTAATATACATAGGAGGGCAAAAGCACATCTTCTTACATCTGTTATTCAATGCATGTAGTTCAAAACAATCAAGAGTTTCCTTTTTATGCCATCAGACACTACTTACAGAGATTCATTAGTTTCACACAATTGATGCTGCATTTGACACTTATATAAGAAAATCATGAAAATTTTTAAATATTAAAAATATAAGTTCTGCATGCTTAAACCTAGATTAACCAAAAACAATCATCAGATGAAAGGCATAAACTTATCTTTTAGTAATCAAGTGATGTAACAAGTTTATTTGAAGCCTCTCATTTAAGGTTGCAGAAAATACAGCTGACAGTTCTGTACTTTGTACCTTCTCTAAGAGCTGTGCCTGATGTAAACATTAACCAAATCTTCATAGTTGATCCTCTGCTAAGAGGACCTATTAGTAAAAACTAACCAAACACTTAAACAAAGTTAAAATCCAAAAATTTAAATATAAGAAGCCAATGTGGTTTTCACATATTGAAAACCAAATTCTAAATTAACATGGTTTCTGTATCTCTTTAGAGGTTAATAATTTGAGTACTCTCAAGTAGTGTAAAATTAAAAAAAAAATAACTTGAACATTATACTAGATGATTTTAGATCTCTGCTTTTTGAAAGATATTTTAAAGAAATAAGACTCTGGTCCCTTTTCGTCTATTTCTGCTAAAAATTTAACACCTTTAAAAGATTTTTGACATATAAAAATTAATATTTTGTTAAGCACAAATTAATCAAAGCCTGAATTCGTCTGACAGTTATAATCCTCCCAATGTGTATAAAAAGGCCTAGTCATTGCAATGTGAAGTTAAAACATATTCAAATAATTAAGCTGTATTTTAAATGTTTAAATTACCATTGCTTTCCTTTTCTAGAGAAAAGAACGTATATGCAATTCCCCTGATAACGCTGATTCTGTAGTCTCTTCACAAATATTAGGTCCTATAAGATTTCTCTGATCTATAATAAAGCACAGTGGGATAGCAGATAATGAGGTAGAAACAATAGCAGAACAAAGGTGGGAGGAGACTCAGTCATGGTTGAGTGGGCATTAAATAGCCAAAGTGAATTCATTTATGATCTTTATCCTATTTGAGCTGCTTCTTGTAAGAATTGTTCATTACATGTTCTTACTCTAATGCCAATCCGAGGCCGGGTGCAGTGGCTTATGCCTGTAATCCCACCACTTTGGGAGGCTGAGGTGGGCAGATCACCTGAAGTCAGGAGGTCAAGACCAGCCTGGCCAACATGGTAAAACCTCGTCTCTACCCAAAATACAAAAATTAGCCAGCGTGATGGCCAGCGCCTGTAGTCCCAGCTACTCGGGAGACTGAGGGAGCCTGGGAGGTGGAGGTTGCAGTGAACCGAGATCGCACCATTGCACCCCAACTTGGGGGACAGAGCAGGACTCTGTCTCAAAATAAAAATAATGCCAATCTGTACTTATGACCCGTAACTAGAGAATCATATCCTAATGCAATGAAATTCAAAAGTCTAAGATTTTTTAAGCTAATACAGCTTTTAGCTTCCAGAGCCACAGAAGGAAAACTTTTTGTCAGTTTTTCATAAGAACATACTAGCTGAGTTAAAATAACCCTTTCTTCACAGAAGCTATCCTTGCTCTTTCTTCTGGTTGGCAACATGACCAGTGATAGTATAGATCACAGCTTCAGCTTTCCTAATCATTTCTTAGATATTTTTTATTCTAATGTACCTCTTCACTATGAAATTGTTTACTACAGGAACACTCTACAACACAAAGAGCAAGAAAAGCTTCCTCCATAATCTTTCGAAAGATAACTGGTTTGTGTTCACTTGCAGGCCATAAAGTATATTTAGGTTGCTGTAAATTTTTTGAACTTAATATCAATTATGTTTACTTGTTCTAGTTTTTTGTGGTATAACCCATTGTATATTTTTCTTTCCTAATCTGAAAGTTTATAATGCTGCTTCTCTTTCCTTATAGTTAAAAATGCTGTACATGTTAGAAAGTATGCAAATAAACTGAGTTTCTTCCTTTGTTATGAATTTTTTAAAACAATTTTCATGTCATTATAGGAAAAAAGTTTTTGCTTTCAAGCTAAAACCATTATTTGAGAAATGTCCTGAGTCATCTCAACCCACAACCCTACAAACGTATTTCTTCATTCAATAATTATTTAGCATCTATTTATGTGCCAGATACCATTTTGGGTGCTGTGAATAAACTGTTGGACCAAACCTAACACAGACCCTGTTCTCATAAAGCTTACAACCTAGTGGATAAAGCAGCTGTTAATCAAATAATCATATATGTAATGACATAGTATACTCACTAAAAATTCCCTATGAGGAAAATAAAGCAAGAGAACCATAGTTTGATAGGTGAAGAACTATAGAGCTGCCAAGTATTCCAACCACTCTAGAATGGCTTGGTATAGACCACAATGGAGAGAGAAGGAAAGAACACCATTTGCAGGAGGGAGGCATGGAAATATGGCACTCTGGAGGAAGAAGTAGTGTAGCATAATGCTGAATATCCCTGTATGAGAAAAGAGAAAGGTTGGGAAATTTCAGAGGGAGAAGAAAATGTTTCATGGAGCCTTCTGCATGGTTCATTATTAATAAGTCATTTTGATATCCTCTTGAAGCAATCTTAACATTGAAGAACATTCTTTTTCCAAGCTTGTAGAATTGCCTTTAATTTTCTTCTGAATGCCTCATTGCAACTTCAGATGCTGGATGGTATTTGTTCCAATTTCTTCACACAACTACATAATTATGAAATGATATATATTGTAATGGAAGGAAACCTAGTGATATTAAAGCACTGACAGAAAAAAAAAAAATGCCTGACCAACTCTGGGAAATCAAAGAAAATTTCTCTGAGGAAGTTGACACTTGATCTGAAACCTGAAGGATGGGTAGGAGTTATCTAGTTGAGGTGGAATGGGGAGGAGGAGTGTTCCTAGAAAACAGGCAAATGAAATCCTTGACAAGGTCAATGTTGTTGGAGTAAAGAGAATGTAAGGATGGGGAAAGAGAACATTCCAGGTAAGGTTGGAGAGAGAGGAAAGGAGCCAGGAATGTGCAGAGAATTTATAGGTACCTAACCTGAAAATAGTGAACGCCATTAAACGGTATCATAAGGATCAGGCTTTCATTTGAAGAAAAACCTCACTTTAATTTACTACCACAATACATTCATTCAATGAAAACTGTCCACAACTACAGAAAAATTATGTAGTCAATTGCTGAACAAAATGAAAGAATACAGGATATATGCATTTTGTTCTGTGAGTGGAAGTAAAACTAACACAATTGTGCTCAAGAGCTGTTACTTTTTTCCCCATAACCAAAACTCACCCAACTTGGCAAGAAAGAGCAAAAGTTTTCAATGGAAACTTTTACTGTTGCTAATCAAACTTACTGTTTGCTTTCTTGCAGGTGATTTTTTATGTATCTCTTTAGTAAATGGTTCCGTTCAACTTCGCTACAACCTTGGTGACAGAACTATCATTCTAGAAACTCTCCAAAAAGTAACTATAAACGGAAGTACTTGGCACATAATAAAAGCAGGAAGAGTTGGTGCAGAAGGTTACCTGGATCTAGATGGAATAAATGTAACAGAAAAAGCCTCCACTAAAATGAGTTCTCTGGACACAAATACAGACTTCTATATTGGAGGAGTATCTTCTTTAAATCTTGTAAATCCCATGGCAATAGAAAATGAACCTGTAGGTTTTCACGGCTGTATCCGACAAGTTATCATAAATAATCAAGAATTACAACTAACTGAATTCGGAGCAAACGGTGGTTCAAATGTAGGTGACTGTGATGGGACAGCCTGTGGGTACAATACATGCAGAAACGGAGGTGAATGTACAGTAAATGGCACAACTTTTTCTTGCAGATGTTTGCCAGATTGGGCTGGAAATATATGTAACCAGTCTGCGTACTGTTTGAATAATCTTTGCCTCCACCAGTCTTTATGTATACCTGATCAATCATTTTCTTACAGTTGCCTGTGTACTTTGGGTTGGGTGGGAAGGTATTGTGAAAACAAAACTTCATTTACAACTGCAAAATTCATGGGCAATTCTTACATTAAATACATTGATCCAAATTACAGAATGAGAAACCTCCAGTTCACTACTATATCTTTAAATTTCAGTACCACTAAAACAGAAGGTCTAATTATATGGATGGGAATAGCTCAAAATGAAGAAAATGATTTTCTAGCAATTGGTCTCCATAATCAGACCTTGAAAATAGCAGTTAACTTAGGAGAAAGAATCTCTGTGCCTATGAGCTATAACAATGGCACATTCTGTTGTAATAAATGGCACCATGTAATTGTAATTCAAAATCAGACTCTTATCAAGGCCTACGTAAATAACAGTCTAATTCTTTCCGAGGATATTGATCCACATAAAAACTTTGTTGCTCTAAACTATGAAGGCATTTGTTATCTAGGGGGTTTTGAATATGGTCGAAAGGTAAATATCGTTACTCAAGAGATTTTTAAAACCAATTTTGTTGGCAAAATTAAAGATGTTGTATTTTTTCAGGATCCAAAAAAAATTGAACTAATTAAATTAGAAGGATACAATGTTTATGATGGAGATGAACAAAATGAAGTTACATAAGTTAACACTAGAGATTTTAGTACACACTATACATAAATGCAGTTATTTTGATAGTTATTTCTTTGGTACATTGCTCACGGGGAATCAACTGTTTACTATTACCTGAAATAGTCTAAATGCTAACATATCTTTTTGGTAGGATTGTAAAATGTCACTGAAGGTTCTGATTGTTTTTCCTACATCTAATTTATCTGTATATATTTTGACTCATGTTTTAACTCCATTAGTTCATTCAGTGCTTATTCACGGAATGTGCTTATTCACTTTGCTTATTCACTTTTTACCTATCCCTAATGCTTAAATTTTAAAATGAATGTGTAAACACAATTTTAAAAATCAATGTGTAAACTGAACTTTAAAATGTTGGGAATGAATTAGGGATAGGTACAAATAGGAAAAAGTCAAGTTATTAATCAAAGGAAAAATAAAATTTATACAAAGCAATGTAACCATATTGTATTACATGGCTTAGCTACAACTATTTGTATGATTCAACGATGTAAAACTTGAACATAGATTTAAACCAAAAATTATTGCATGAATGTAGAAAGAGACGGTGAGAGGAAAGGAGAACAGGCTGGTAAGAGCTAAATCCTTATCTTTTATAGTGAGACATTAAGATATTACAGTATGTGCAACTTAAAAAATAGCATATGCATATCACAAACATGAAGGCAAATATCCTAAATATCTAAAAGAATTAAAAATGGTTGCCTCTGGAGAGAAGAGTAGTGCAGAGGCCTGTTGCTTTTTATTTATAAACCTTGTGGAACTATTTGGCTTTTTAAAACTATGTACTCATATTAACTGATCAAATTAAAAAATTAACCTTAATTTGTGTTTAACTGCTTTCAAGTCTACAGATCTCAAAATTGGGCATAAAATAGGTTCTAAACAATGCCACGGGAAATTACTGTCCTAACAATTTAGTACTGTTGATAGCATAACTTGAAAGTATTATTTTTCTCAAAACAGTTATTGATACAATTGTGAACAGAATTTTCACTTCCCACTCCCAGTCCACCACTGCAGATTGGAAAGCAGTTATTGCTGTTGTTACCTGACATTTTCTGAGTTTGGTATCTGTGACAATTTTGCCACTTGACAACCAGCAACATATGACTGACTTGGTGAACTACCAGGTAGAATAGGTCATCTGGAGGAAAAAAATCTTAATAATAAACAGCATGTAATGTTCAAAAAGAAAAGTATGTAATTAATCATCAAGTAATTCGAGAAAAGAATTTACAAAAAGAGCTGATGAATACACATTTAACTTCTGTGCAGATTCCAATCTATACAAAGTAACTAGGCGTAATTTATCATTCAAAAAATATTACAGATTTTTGTCTTATTTTAGCCACTCCATTCATTCCAATCAAAAGGCTACAGACATTCCTAAAAGGACCTAGGACCAGAGTTAAGAATGTCTACACCATTTGACAGGGCACAAATGTTTCCAAACATACAGTTCATATTAACACTAGGAAGTGTGAGGGTAGAATATAAGGTAGAATTGCAGAATGTTTACACATTGATTCAAAGGTTTGTTTTTTAACAGAAACCACTCAAGACAACTCCATCAAATTTTGCTGAAAAACTGTTACCTAAACTGGTACTGGTCCATATTACTGCATTTAACTTTGGAGATACTTACACCATAAGGATAAATGCTCTAAAGAAACTCCTTTTGGCAGCTAGTAATCAAATCTAACCTTTCAGAAAATGCACGTCACGTATAAAAAGAAGGCTGTTTTATAAAAGCTTACAAAATCTTCAAAGAAACTGCCTGAATCACACTCCCATCATATTAGGTCACTTGTTCTCTCATAATAAAGTATGCCTTTTCTTTAAAATAGCACTTCCCAAAGTATGGTCCAAGAACCCCTGAGATATTTTCAAGGAATCCGGAGTCCTCCCTTTCCCAAAAACGAATGAACATATTAACAGATTTTCTTCATATATTTCAAATAAAACGACATACTACAAAACACTGAATGCAGAGCACGTAAGAGAATCCAGCCCTAAGTTAGAAATTGGAAATATGCAAAAATGAAGACAATGACACTCTTCTTACTAGTTTGGAAGCTAACATTTATATAAATGTTGTATTAACAGATGAGATTATCATTAATAAATATTTTTAATGTTTATCATTTGACTTTCTTAGTATGCTAATGATATAAACCATATAAACAAAAGCTTTGGCATTTTCCATTTCTAAGAGTGTAAGGGGTCTTGAAACCAAAAGTTTGAGAATTGCTGCCTTAAAGCTTTTCACAGTTGCAATTTTACGTTCAGATTTTATAACTTGTCTTCTACCTGTAATCTCCACAAAATTGGAACTTTCCCATTTTGCTCATCATTGAATTCCAAATGCAGAAAATTGTGCTTGCAGAATAGGCACACAATATTTAGGAACTGAAAACTGCTGCCTATTCTCCCATAAATCAAAATGACTTGAAAAATATATTTTTCACCTTAAAACCCTGCAAACTTCATGTAACAAATTAACACTATTCCTGCTTCCAATTTTGCTACCCTGGTGATGATGGTGTTGATGATTTCCTATGTGAAATGCTTTTCCAGTATGAAATAAAAATGACTGCTACAGAAAGACTTTTAAGATAATTTTACTATAAATGTCACGAGGTTTCTCAAAAGTGTTGAATGTAAACGGAACATTTTTATAAAATAAGATGCAGTAATATTTACCTTTTCAGTCTCCTTTTAAAGAATAAGTTCCTGAAAAAAAAAAATTACTTTGAGGACAAAATTATCTTAAAATAAGTATTTTTAAAAGACAGCTTGGGCTAACATATACATATATATATACACACATGGACATGCACACAATTACATAGAAAAAGTATTTTGGGGGTATTTGGAGTTATATTGGATTCATTGTCCTTTAGTGCTTAGGCTATTTCCCTCAATGACTCTGCTCTGCATCTATCTGTAAGATGAAACTTGACAGGGTGAACTCAAGCTTTCAAAGGACTTCTAGCTACTGATCTAATATTTGTTTTCAACTCAACTACTTTCTTGTTCTACGTATTAACTACTATAATTCTTTGTGAAACAGAAATCAAAGAATTAAGGTGTTTGGCACCTTTTTAAAAGCAGTAACCAATTTTATTTGCAATTTGCTTTAAGAGACAGAAATAAACCTGATTATGTATACAGTTCTTTGTAGTCATTAGTAAGTTGTAGCCTGACCAGTGTTAGAGGGATCTGAGAAGATGAGCACAGTACAACTAGTATATCCAAATATTAAAATACTGATTTACTAAGATCTGGTTCACTATCAAGCTCTCATAATGCATTTCAGTGGTTCATAAACTTTAAAAAATCCTTAGCAAACTATCACAAGAACAGAAAACCAAACACCGCATGTTCTCACTCATAGGTGGGAACTGAACAATGAGATCACTTGGACTCAGGAAGGGGAACATCACACACCGGGGCCTATCATGGGGAGGGGGGAGGGGGGAGGGATTGCATTGGGAGTTTATACCTGATGTAAATGACGAGTTGATGGGTGCAGCACAGCAACATGGCACAAGTATACATATGTAACAAACCTGCACGTTATGCACATGTACCCTACAACTTAAAGTATAATAATAATAAATAAATTTAAAAAAAAAAAAACACAGCTACTATTAAAAACTTAGGAACAACAAAGTTACCTGTTAAGGGGTAGTTTTAACACACACGTTAACATGGAGGGGCTTCTCACTCCAATTTCTTCTCTACTGCTGGTGTTATTGTTCTTACATTTTTAACATGTATTTACTATAGCCTTAACTATTCTATAAAGATTTAAGATTAATTCACCCACAATAAGCTACAATTAGTGAGTCAAGGGCTGTGGAAGATGATGGCCCCCCAAAAGATGTCTACACCCCAATCCTTGGAATACCTGTAAATATATTAGGTTACATGATAATAGGGAATTAAGGTCACAGATGGAATATAAGTTGCTAATCAGCTGACTTTAAAATAGGAAGATTACCCTGGATTATCTGGTTGGGGTCAACAATGTAACCACAAGGGTCCTTTGTAGAAGAGGTAATCAGAAGGGAAGGTCAGAGATAGTAGAGAAAGACTGGGTCCCATATTGCTATCTTTAAATATGGAGAAAGGGATCATGAGCCAAGGAACTTGGGTGCCCTCTAGAAGATAGAAACCAAGGCCAAAATAAAAAAAGGGAATCTCCCCGAAAGCCTCCAGAAAATGAATGCATCTTGCTGACACCTTGATCTTACCCAGTGAGATCTGCATAGACTTCTGATCCACAGAACCGTAAGATCATAAATTTGTGTGGTTTTAAGCCACTACACTTGTAGTGATTCATCACAGCAGCAACAGAAAACAGGAATAGAGAATTAGGATTTGTGATTAAATTTTGCAAATCTGTACAAAATAACTTACAGGTTTTTGGTTATGTCTTCTGGCTCACGCTGAAGAGTTGGGTTGCTCATTGAAGGGTTTCTGACAGTTCGGTGGAATGCAAAGCAAGAGGGCTATGAAAGGTATATATGATCCAGGCTTTTGCTTCTTTTCCTCATTCTCAATTCTCAGAGCACAATTGCTAAGCACATGGACTGTAGAGAAAAGGACAACTGAGCTAGGATCCCTGCTCTGACAACAGCAGGATAACCTGGCCAAGTTTCCCAACTTCTCTAAGTTCCAGATTCCTCAGCTCTAAGCCTTCACCTTTGAGTTGACCAATGTTTATACTAAGTGCTCAAAACCAGGGATGCCTTACAGAGGGCTCATGGAGGCTTTCTGATTGCCACAAGATCACATGGGGTGAACTTTACAGGTACTGAGATGCCCTGGTACTTTTACCTAATAGAGGTATGCATTCACTGTCTTAAGATGACTCTTAAGTTTAAGTGTACAACTTTTTTTAAGGAGCAGGTTTTTCTTGAAACAGGAGAAACTGAAAGATGAAATTCATGTAATTCACTAGTTTGTATAAGGCTAGTTGTACCTGGGACTGAGAATGGCTTTGGATCTACTACTCGTTGAAAACTCTTATTTTCCTTTTTTTTCCTCAAAAGGAAAACCTCAAATAGTTAATATGACCATACTTTTCCTACTCTCCACACAATGTTTCAGTCAATCAGCGGTTACAAGATCTGCCTCTAACCCCAAGAGATGCTCATCCCTAATAGGAGGCTATATGGGCCTTGCTATTTTAAAAACATGTATCAAGATTCAATCAGATCTGATTAAAGAATTTGATATGTAGAAGAAACTATTAGTTAAGAGGTGATCAAAAACTGACCTAAAAGCTTGTTTTCATTCATTAACCCATTATTTTTTACTTTCATCTTGCAAAAGAAATCTGGAGTCTGATAATCCCTCAACCAGTAAAGGTAGATGTACTGATGACATATACATTTGAAATTGAAAAACTAATGTTTTTGTTTTTAAT